GGTCGGTTTGATTTCATAGTTAACAAACAACCAATTTTGCTTCGGAAAATTACAAGACAGATTGCGAATACTTAGTGCTTTGTTAAAAGACTTGAAAGGATATGTCAAAAGTCAAATTCAGGGATATTTATGGTTTGACGTTTTTCTGTTAGACGCGCAGTTAATAAGCTTAATCAGACAGCATTTACATCTTTTTGCTCTTTTTTAATGAAAAGTTGCCCAAGGGTTCGATTCAGAAAAAAAATTTGAAAACCCAAAATTTTTTTAAGAAAAAACTTCATCGTTAAACGGTGTTTTGAGGAAAAACTCTGACTGATAAATGCTATTTTAGATCAGAGCTTCCAAAAACTGCCCAAAATGGTTTCTTTTTTTGGCTGTTTTCTCCGCAATTTTAGCTGCTAGGAGAAAAAATTTTGCAAAAATGGCTCTTTAGAGTGTTTTGGAAGATCAATATGGTTAACATATAAATAGATCAACAATATTTAAACTTGGAACGTTTTTTAAAAACCAACCCCTGCCTCCGAGAAAATTCCAGATCCTTTGCTCGTTCAAATGATTTTGAAGTGGTTTAATTAGCAGGTAAAATTTTTGAAACAAAATTTTTCTTCTTAAGCAAAAAAACCGTCAATTTTTAAAATAAATTGCAAGTCATGAGATCCTAAGTTTTTCATTTGTTAAGCTTTGCTAAATCCTTGAAATTATTTAGATAGCTTTAGCTTTGAAGTGTTCTTAAACCGAAAAGCACTTAAAAAGTTTTTCTTTCGTTTTAGCTGTCTATCAAGGTAATAATTTGATATTTTTGGGCTGTTTCTACAAATCTTGCTACCTAATTGAAGCTTTTTAAATATTTACTGATGAGATTTTAGACAACATTACAGTAAAAATGGTTCAAACAATTGTGTTCGTTCCAATGAATTTAAAAAAGGGAAAATAATTTGAGTATAAAATTTAAAAAAGTTTTGAATGTATTCTTAGTTGCAATTTTTACTCCCGTCAAAGGAAACTATCAGCGAACCGCTTGACGTTTATGTTTGCTTCGCTTTTTGGTCTATTAGAGGGATTACCTCGGTTTTTTTTGCTGATTAATATCTGGGCCCTATGCTTTAGGAAATTGCAGCGCATGTGGTTTATTGAGTACCTTGTTTCTTAACTTTCCAATTTCGCTCAATCCAATTAGCCTTGAATTTTAAAACAAGAATGTTGTTCATTGAATTTTTGGAACTTGTTTTCATTTTTCTGAAGTGTATATAGACTCTCGCGCATTTTTGCCGTTTTTCAGTGCAATTGAGAATGAGCTGTTTTTTTTTTATTAAACAAGTTCTAAATTTAATTCAGCTAAGAATTTTCAGTTAATTACAGCAATTTTGTGAGTTTGATTCTAAATGACTAGTAAATGACCTGTATATATACTCCAAAGTTCATTCGAAATACTATCTTTACTTTCGGAGTGTTGGTTCTCGGGGTTCTGTTTTCTCCAGAAAGATTTTAGTTTTTTAATTAACCATTTTTAGTTGACCTTTTTCATAAAAAACTATAAAAATGTTTATGTCCAAAGCTCAAGAAAACCTTTAAAAATCTCCAAAAATAATAATTTCGCTTATTTGTTTAAAGCGATTATGTTGAATTTGTCAATGTTTTGATTAGTACATACTACAATTCAAATGTTATTATATTTTGTCCTATTAGAGCGTAAGCGAAAATCAAATAAAACCGAACTGAAATGAAACAAGCAATTAATTTTTATTGATATACAACAAGACGCAAATTATGTCACTTTGTTTTTCCTATAATTCAAAAAATAAAAGAAAAAATTTAAAAAAGTTGCATTATTTTTACAAATATTTGACTAAAGACTTTGTAATTTACATTAATGAGCAGTTGGAACCTTCAAAGTTTCGTCTGATACGAGCAGTTGTTTTCATTGGAAAATACACAAAAACATAATTGCGTATGCTCAGAGAAACATAAAGAAACAAGGCAGCTCGCATCTCGAACTTTTTAGTTGCCATTTAACTCAATGCCCTTTAACTCAGACTTTTCTTAATTTGAAAAAAAAAGTTTTCGTTAATTGAAAACTTCTTTCTTATTTGTTTTTTGTTTTCTCCCTTCACACTTTGTAAAGTACAGAAAAACACGTTTTGCTTCTGTTTTACGCTTCACCATAACTTTTCATAAATCTGTCGGGTGTGAATTTTGTTTTTTTTTCTAGTTCAGGGTATCAAAATAGTTTAGATGACAAAAAAATCTGTAAAAAATGCTAGTTAAAAAATTTGCCATGAGAAAAAAAAACAACCTGAGCGCAAACACTCCATCATCTTATTCGAAATTGGAATAATAAAAACAAAAAAGCTGTTTGTTACAAAAATGGACAAAATACTTAGCTAATAAAGATAGCCGATTATTGTGCAAATATCACAGAATGTTCCGACCAGAGTCTTGAAAAAATGCAAAATTGTTTCTAACTTATTGTCGTTTTTTCTGAGTCAAAATCTTACAAAATAAATCGAATCACGGCTGAAAGGGCTTCAATATAAAACATAACTTGGACAGAAAAATGGAAAAAAAAGAAAAAAACTAAAACACTCCTAAATACCTTGTTCGTTCACAACTTTCAAATGATCAAAACAATAAATTCCATGACAAAACTCATGTGTAAATCATTAAATGATACTGCGCTACAGTAAGCATCGGATGGAGATAAAATTTTGCTTGTAGCTTTAGTCATTTGTTCCATCTTACAAGAGAAAATGTTTTTTTAAATTTCTATATCTTCTGTTCAATTTCAGCGATAACTGTGCTTTGGAACCGGCACATGATTTTTTGAATTAATTCTACCGAATACTTTGACTGACTTAAATTTTTCTACATACAAGTTGCTTAATGTATTCCAAATTGACAAAAAAAAACTAATTCATTCTTTTAAAGACTTTTCAATAGAGATGTATAAATTTTAGCCGGCATAGTCACTTGATAATTGTAATTTTTCGCGCCATTCAATTGGAAATAACAGACCAGATTTAAATAACAAATGAGTTTTTTTTCGTTTGTTCAATTTGGAGGCTTTTCCCTGATTATTGATCATAAAATATATTATGTTTTCACAAATATCTGGATTTTTTTATTTTAGAGGAAGGAGGGAAGATTATTATGTTTTATTACCTGTTTACTTAAAGTTTTCATTTTGCCTGTTGATTTTTTAAACATATTTTGAAAGTGTGATGAAAATGGTTAGAAGCGTTCTTGTAAAGATGAATAGTAAAAGAACGCCAACTTTTTGTTGGTATATTTTATTGGCATATGAAGTGCTATCTCACTGCCAAAATCACTTTTTCGTCAACATCAAAGTATAAAAACATATTTTTAAACAGAATTATTTGTGGAATAACTTTTTTTCGCACTAAAAATTAAATCCACACCTTTCAACACGTGACGTATTTTCATGCGTCATCGTGTTTTTACACCAAATTTAGAGTTAGCTGAGATTGGTTTTATTTTTTCCTGGTCATTTGTTTCCAGGTCAATTACTGGAATAGATAATTTGGTTATGTTTTCTGTTTAGAATACCGAGAATCAATGGAGTGAAAAAGACTCAACACAAAATAAGCACAGAAGTGTGAACAATAAAGAACAGTATATTGGAATAACTTACCACTTATCAAAAAGATGGTAATATGCAATCAAAAGGTGGTTGAACATTTTGTTATTACACGACCGGCAAAATGTATTTTGACTCCTAATTGATTCTCTAATTATCACTTTGTTCTTTTGTTAGTTTGTTTTGTAAGAGTGTTTCTTCTTTTGTTAGCTCACTTCACGAAAATTATTGGAAAAAATTATGCGTATACTACCTGCTGATATTGTCAAACTTAATGACACAAATAAAGATTGTACAATTTCCTTTTGAGTCGTTCGATATTTAAACAGCGATCTCACCTCAATTTTCATTATAATTTATTTGGGGTCAATCAGAAAAAAGGGCGATTCGTTTATGAAAATATACTAAAATCGAAAATTTTGCCTCATTTTTGTTAACCCGTTCACCAGCGAGTTACCATTGAATTTCAAATGAAACGTACTATCTATTTTTATGTGGCAAAAAAGTAGAGCTTTAAGTTGAAAAGCGGAATAAATTTTATCGACCGAAGGCTTGATTTGCGAGGCGTTGTGCCACATTTTCCCAAAACTATCTTGATTTAATGTTTTGGAAGTTATTCGATCAATTTATTTAAATCTCAGAGAAAAAAGTTCGAACTACAGCATTGGTTTAATCTTCGATTGAGATGTCGACTTTTATAGTCATAAAATTCAAGTTTCTCAAAATGATCAATCAATCAGTCTTCTGGGTTACTTGAATCAATTTACCCATTCATCGAAGTTATCATATTATTCAAATAGTTAAAAAGATGTCATTTCTGACCGCCGAACACCCACGATTCGCAAATTTCACCCCCGAAGGTTATATAGACTCTTCGGTGCCGACACCCGATTCGGCTTCGAACGGGCAAATTTCACGCAGTCGGAATCCCTCGGCAGCCGGAAGTCGCTCTGGGTTTTACCCTCTGCAGCCGAACAGCAACCACTCTGGATCAAATGATCTGATGACTCACCAGGAATGTTCCAATTTCACTTTGAAGCTTTTAAACATAAATAACCCACAAATTTAAAATTATTACCTGAAGTCGGCAAGCACAAAATGTGCAAGAACCCTCAAAAATTGTGGGTTTTCGATAATGGGTTCTGTAACTGGTAATTTTCAGCTCAACTCAAAACAAAATACTAGTTTAAAAGTAGGTTTCAGATTTATAAATTTACAATATCAGCTAATCACTTAAAAAAGATGCTCAATCTGACAGTTTTTTATTCAAATTTTGAGTTTTTGCTGTTTCTTTCACTTGTTGTTTTGAGGTTTGTTCAAAGGTACCGATTTACTTTGCTTTATTATAAATCAAATATCATTATAACTATACTTCAAAAGCAAAATTGGAATATTGTATCAGGATTCACCGCGAACCGAGCCTTCCATCTTCATGGAAACCTCTTTTCGGGTAATGTCGCCTGAAAACGAAGTCGCGGCCGCCTCCTTGCGAACCCTTCAGGGCATTCGGGTCCCGAACGAAGTGTTGCCGAGTCAAAACTCGGAGTCCTGTAGCTCGTGTTACTCCCAGTCGAAGATGAACTACAATAATAACAATGTTTGTAATGTACATGTGGTTTCGGATAAAGTTTCGCCGTCACATTTGACAAGTGGTGCTCCTCAACATGAGAGAAGTTAGTAATTTTTTGTTTAAATTTTAGATTTTTTGAGAAGTTTTGCCAAGATTCTGTGTGGCACAAAACATTCCGATTCATCTGAAATACATGAACACATTTGAATTTTAAACCAACATGGCTTAAATTTTATCGTTTTATTTTGTAAGTCTTAAGGTTTTCTAGAATTGAGATCATTTTTTTCTTGAAACTCTAATTTTCTTCATTCAATTCAGAGCAGTTTTAGATCAGTCAGTCATTGTTTTTCCACCCTCTTTGAGATTCGAAGGTTTCCAAGAGTGGCGTCATGTTTTTCTTTGCCTCCCGTTGTTGAAATACTCGTTATTTTCCAGAGACTCTCGTTAAGAAACTTAAACTGAAAAATGTTTGGGAAATAACTGAGTCAGATTATATTTCAGGCTTCAAACCGGTCGAATTAATCGTCAGTGGACGATCTGCCCTCTCCCCCAACGCATTCTCAGCCCACAGTCGCATGGGGGGAGTGGGACCTCCGCACCAACACCACATCGAACAACCTCAACCTGTGTCGCATAGAGTGTTCACTACTCACCACGGAGATAGTTTTGGCCCGGGTGGGGGAATTGGAACGGGTGGGGGTGGTGAGTCACGAGATTCGCGTGGGAATGGGAGGAATCATCATCATTATAGAGGATTCGAGCAGGACTTGACGCCTCCCTTTCCGCATACAACCCAATTTACAGGTTCGCGTTTGGTGTGCAAAAGCGACCTGACGTCTGAAGATCTCCTTTTCTGTTTTTCCCTACTTTTTATATTCTCAAAAACTTTAATCCTGTTACGCTTTTTGAAATAAGTAAGTTTTTATCCTCTGGTTGCTCTGACCACTTAAGCGAAGGCGACGGGAAGGAACTATATTACCTAGTTTATGCTATACCCAAGAGGATCAAATTTCAACTGTGTTGTTATCTTACATCCCTTTTCGGCCGTGTTTTTGAATTCCAAAACAAAAATTTCTCTCAGTGTCGAGAAAAATTTGCCTGACTTCAGACTTATTTGCGCTTAATACACTCAGTAATGAGTAGGACAAATGATGGCTTCCAATCTACAATTATGCTGCTTTTTCAGCGTTGTTTTTGTCATAATAGCCTCAATTGCCTAATAGTATCTAATTGAACCTGATTACAAAACCCAGCGAAAAAATGTAAGCTAGAAAGTTTTTCGAACCCTAGTTGATAGCCAATGGTTATCTTGCAAGATGTATGTAAATCTTGTCAAGATCTTGCAAGATAATTGCAAATTCATGCAAGAAAACCATCATTCAAGTTAAACATAATTTTGTAAGATCGCAAAAAAAATCTTCTAGCTGAAACCAAAAAATTTATGATTCGTGGAATTGCTATAATAATTGCTATACCGTTTTTAAGTTTCATTGTACTTTTTTCCAGATTTTTGAAACTTGGCTATCGATTTCTCAAATCTTGTCGGGCTTGACAGATATCAAAAAACATTAAAGTAAATTGATACAATAAAGTCATACTTTAAGACTATCTAAATTTGAAAAAATATCAAAACTAGCAAGAAAACTACTTGTAGTTTCAACACCAGAACAATTTGAGTTAAACTTAGAATACAGTTGTTCTCATTCTGGAACTACCTAGCGCAAACCGGTGTACACTAAATCTATTGAGACTAGGAGATATAAGAGTAAGATTAAGATCAGAATTAGACTAAGAAGTTGCACGAATCTATCCGGCCGAAATTAAGATAGCGTGACGGGCAGACGGTGTACCTTATCTGAAATTACTCTATGAGTATAGTATTTAATACATAACTCACCTTGCAACTATATCATTAATTATAGTTGCGAGTACAAGGGGATTGTAATCGGGATCTAGATTTTTTTCCGTAAAAAATTTTGCTTGCAACTCCATAGGAAGTTGACTTTGCTTCATTAAGAAGCATTAATAAATCGTACAGCTGTCCACTTGATTCTTCTTTACACTGGCAAATATCAAAGGTTATCAAAACGGAACATAGACTTTTTGAAGCGGACAATTTGTGTAGCAGGATTAGTGAATCATTTTCGTTTTCAATGCACGTTGTGAAAATACTTATTTAAGTCGTGATGATAATTTCCGTTCTTTGTGTTAAATTACATGAAAAAATCAGAAAACGGAAATGGTGCTTAAAATGCGAAGGGCCTTCAATATCGAAATTGAAATTCAATTTTTTGACGTGCCAGCAGAATAAAAAATACAGATTTAATCAGTTCTCTCTAGTTTTTGAAGTGGTTAGTTTTATGAAAAAAAGTCAGAAAAACAATTTTTTTGAAATTTGGATAACTTAAACATTATTAGAAAGCTACTACCCTTAAGCAATTTTTAAAGAGCAATTTAAAGAGGCTCAGTATTTTTCTTCGAATTTTGAAAGCTTCAACAAAAGAGAGTTTTGGACTGTTCTATTGGTAACGCTAATATCGTACGCCTATGACTGAAATTTTTGCACATGTTTTCATAGTCACAATTGATTCTAATGTTTTTTTTTGTCCAAAAGATTAAATAAACTTATCATGTTCAATGAATTTCTAGAAATTTTGTCAGTTTCCAACACTGTTTTTGTTTTCTTCTTTGTCTTAGCTGATAACTGATTCAAAATTTTTTTTAACTGAAGAGATTTGAGCCTCCATCCACGTTCTTTTTGGAGGCAATTATTAATTCTCAATTGTCAGAAAGTTAAATTTCTGTTGAATTAGGTTACAACTAGCTGACTCAAAATCCATCATGTTTTTTGGCAATTCCTGGCTTTAAGTTGAGTAATTATAGCGCGGAGTAAATTGGCAGGGTCAATTGTAACGAGTAAAAAAAAAACAAAGTTCGTGGGCACCGTTGATGAAAATACACTAAAAGCATCGACTCGCAATTCTAACTTTTTAGTGAATAAGGCTGTAGTTTTTTTTCTGAAAAGCAAAAATTATCATTCTATTTTCCTAAAAAATTGAAAAGTTCATTGGAATTTTCATCGAAAGCTGAAGAAAAATGAATGGTTGACTCAAAATGGTTTCAATTAGGAGTTTTATTTTTTGTCTAAAATATCTAGATATACTTGATTTTGCACATCAAAATACATACCAGAATAGAAATTTCCAGCTCCATTTGTGAGTTAAGACTTCAATGAATCATTTTAATTTAAAACTTAATTTCAAATGCATTTCTAGTTCTGGGATAATTAGAAACAGTGAAAAAAGTCCAAAATCTCGTCAATTTAGGAAGTGAAATCATCCAAGAGTAAAATTACTAGCAAACGAGTTCATTACCATTTTAGGAGGCGGAGTTCGCAGTGTTAGTCCATGCTCCCCTCCTGAACAGATGAGTAATCACAGAAGTGGGGGTGGAGGTGAGGGTGGGGGTGGGTTCACTTCTGAAAAGAAACACCACATGTTGTCTCACTCTTCGATATCCTTACCTGCCCTCAAGCCCATTCAAGACTCAATCAACCCCCACGGAGGAAACGATCATCAGGTCAGTTCTAGAAGAAGTAGAACTTATAGTTGCAAAGTAGTAGAGATGCAATATAGTAGTAGTGTTTATTAATGATTGATTGATCGAGGTATCATTAGAACAACAACGAGCCTAACTGATAACCTCTTGATGTTGCTGGAACTACTGTTGGATTGTGTTACTAAATTTCTGCACTATATCAACCAGGGGCGGATTTAGGGAGATTGAGAGCGCGCGCCAAAAACACGTGGTTTTTTGGTCAACATTTTCCAAAAAATGGGTAAAATCTCCTTTTTTGGCCTGTTTTTCAAAAATTCAGTGCTATAGGAGAGCTCGGAACGTCAATTTGGTCGACCAAAAAAAAGGTCGCCAAAACTTTTGAAAATCCGCCCCCCTCCCCCTCGCGAAAAACTTAGATCCGCCCCTGTTATCAACTATATCTCCCATTTAATTTTGAAGGTGCGGTTGCAGCAAATTTGGATCCAGTTTTGTTTTTTCATCGAAAACGCGGCACCACACAGATACTCGTCACCTGGGTTCGAATTATGTACCATTTCAATGTCAGTCGTCAGTCAAAAATCTCAGTTGTGTTTCGAGTTGCTATATAGAAAGTGTGTGAAAAAAATCGCAATATTTTGCTTAATCCATCGAAAGAGGTAATATAAAGCAAAATTTTAATTAAATTGGGATTTTGATACAACGCTGATTTAAATTATCCGGACGAAGAACACATTAAACTTGAAACCAAACGACGAGAATAAATTTTTTAATACAAGTTTTAGAGTTTTATATTCTTCTTGACGCGTTCAGACAGTTCCGCCGAAGACATCATTACGAAACCAAACTGTGCATTTTGCCAATTGTAGGCGGATTCCAAAATAAGGACGCTCCCTTTGTTCTTCTTTTGTTCTTTCATTCTCTTTGATCATTCTGACAAAATTTTTACAAGTTTAAAGACTTGTGTCTGAAATCCAGGAACGAACAAACACAAAATTGTGTGCCTATCCAGTGCACAGTTTGGCCTTGTATTGATTTCAGCAAAAAGTATGCAAACAGTGTAGTCTTTGTTGGGATACATGAAAAGCTCGCTTTGATATAATTTTGTCAACAATTGATCCAGTTGTAGCGTAACTTTGATTGACTACAAAAAGAGATACTTTTTGGGCCCGGAATTTGCACCATAATTAGTTCGCGTTTTAATTTCAGCATGAAAGTATTAAGCGAGCAGTTTAGATAGACTCTTTTAGGACTGCAGGCGGTAGATTTCGAATTAGTGAAATGTTGTGCGCGCCTTTGCTTGAAGCACAAAAATCGTGAGCGTGCCTCACTCAAAAAAGGTTTATTTGGAAATTAGTTTAAATAGAAAAATCACTCCGAGCATATATATTCCCCCTTTTTTTAAAAGTCGGAATAAAAATTTTTTTCCGACCCTTTGGTAACATAGCTCACCCAGAATTTTTTTATGTTCCGAATTTTTCTCATTTCACAATCAAAAGGTAGGTTGTTTCTAACTGAACAGCCAAATAAGCCAATAGACTAATAGGTTGTTAGATAGGACTGAACGGGTTCCAGGTACTTCGGTTGATAGCTAGAAGTTTTTTGGTTTTAAAAAATTGTTGCATATTTTTATTCGATACCGGCTATTCTTGTTACACAGGTTCTCAAATAGTAATAACGGGTTTAGGAAATCAGACGACAAGCAAATTAGACGATCAGAAAATAACAGAATTCTGACGATGACATGTGTGCAAATTGTGGGAAATTTGTTTACAAGCTTAAAGAAGACTGCTCGTATATCAGGGCAAAGCCCTGAAAGTTCCGACTGCCCCTTAATCCAAATCGATTAGTTTTTGGGAAAAGAAAATATTGAAAAACTATGAAGTGTGGACAATATCAAAGATTAAGTTTGAAAGTTTGAGTCATACGAAAATAACATGACTAACTAAACTAGCTAGCCTCTATTCGAAATTGGATAGTTCGCCATGCATAAATAATTTGCGTTACGCTTTCAAAATTATAGATGAAATATACTAAATTTGCATAAATTAGTCCAGAGCATGCCCAAATTGGTAATTTTCGAAGTCCGTAAACTTTGCAAAAATGATCGGAAGTAAAAAATTTTTTTTGAATTTCATTTCAGGAAGTCAATCTCTTCAACGGAGCTTAAAAATACTTTGTTAAAAAATATGATTTCGATCGCCGAAAATTGACTGAAAAAATCACACCAAGTAGAATTATTTTTTTATTCGAAAGCCGAAACAATTAACTTTTGGTTGAGTAAGTACTAGTTGTCCAACCACAAATCAGGTTGTTAATGTTACACATATGATTAGGTTTTTCAAAAAAAATTTTGTTTACGATTGATTGTTTCATAATGAACTTAGAATAAAACTTTTGATCAGTTCTGTGATCATATATTCTTCTTTTTTTTTGTCTCACTTCATTCAAAACAAAAGATTTGTTTGCCCAAGTCTTATCGTCTAAATTCACAAAGAGTTATTGTCTGAATTATGTTTTGTTTTACGGTCGTCTGATTTGCTTGCTGTCTAATTTCCTAGGCCCCAGTAGTAACGACTTTTTTTTACTTTTGCGAGTTAAAAGTCTTTTATAATTTATTCGGAGATGGAGGAGTCTTGGCGTTATGAACCGATAATGCGGATAAAACTACTTACTATGTTTTTTGTTGTCGCTGACAGCATCTTGCCCCACCCGATTCAATCAGCCTCGCCAGTCACAGACGCAGTCGTGCCGAGACAGATCAAAGTGCCGACATGCCACTCGGAGGCGCCGACAACAACTACATGAACAACCCTATCATGGCCTACCCAATGGACAGTACCCAGAACCCACACCAGAACAGACTCTCGATTAGTCATGAGAACAATGAAGGGGGCTCTGTTGGGAAGTTGAAACCGGGGGAGAGTTTCACTGAACCCCAGCCAATCTACACTTGGGGCTTCCAGTTGTGGGAGTGTTTCAGTGACACCAAGTGGTGTTTGATCACGGGCTTCTTCCCATGTGTGACTGAGTTCCTTCTTAGGTAAGAGGCTTGAACAGTTCTGCTTCAGTTTAAGACACTTTAAGGTACGGAATTCATTGTAGGTGTTCAATAGGTTTGCAGACTTCGATATAGTGTTTCACACATGTCAATTTCAAATTTTGGATATGATTCATTTAATGGCAGATAATTTTTGGCATTTGTTAAAGTAAAAATCACAAATAAATACGTTATAAATTGTATTTCAATTGATTTTTGTAAAATACACGTAATCACGTATAGATTTTGAGCGGATTTTCTAAAAAAAAATCAAAATTTCCGTCGACTTTTGTCCGCTCTCTTCAAAAATGAGCCTATTTCATCAAAAAAGCTCGCTGTTTGAGACAACTTGCCAAAAAGTACAGTTCACGGAAAAAGTTTGGACGACTTAGCCATAAAAATTGCATTCCTTAACAATGGTAGATGTTATTGGTTCCCCGGGTGCTCTTAGAGTCTGTTTAGGGTTTGCTATCGTGTTTTTTTAATAGTAAATTCCATCTTGTTTCTAGAATAATCTTGTGCTCTTGAGGGAGGGGGGTGTATATATGTTATTATATTAAATGCATTCAGATTAGTATAAAATGTAGTAAATTATTCATTCACTGAACCCTTTATTTTGTTGTTACAGCCAGACGTTTGGCCTACAGCGTCTGGGAGTCTCCTTTGTCGTCTCCTCCCTCTCCATCCTCTCCCTCCTCCTTCTCCAATTCACCCTCCTCACTCCCAACACAGACACACTGCACATCGGAGTAAACGACGCCTTCATATGCAACCTCCTCCTCTACTTCCTACTCATGTTCCGAGTGTTTCTCGCCTTCAAACTGAGGAACAGAATCCGAAATGAGTACCGGATATCAGGTTACAAAATCATCAGATTTTTTTTTGGTTTTTAATGCTATATATGCTACTGTCACTATGCTTCTGTAACTGCAAAAAATATATCAAATGGTTGTACTGGAAAAAAAACTTTAAATCCAGAGCAAATTTCCGATTGTTTGATTTTGTTCAGGTAGCCGATTGGGCGACTGTTGTGTTATCTGCGTATGTCCCTACTGCGCATTATGCCAAATGAAACAGCACCACGACTACTACGACGCATCCGACTCCGAAGACAATGACGATGACGACGACCAGAACTCCTCGACTGCCGGGGCACCCAATGTTACCCTGTCTCCTCTAAACGTCGCCTCAAACCACCCCAAATTACACCATAACCACAACTCACGACCCAGTTTGCACGGCATTGCAGTGCACAATCATCAGTGCTCGCACGGTGCTAGCGTGAACAGTGCGAATCATAACTCAAGCTTGCACTATAAATCACGCATGACGAGAGAAGTGCGAGGCTTCAAACAAAGTCCAATCAGCCAGTTGGGGAAATTTCTAGATTATTCTGGTAACATCGGTCGCAACGATTATGGAAATAACAGCAATGACAACAATAATAGTTGCTGCAGTTCAGGTAGATGTACTCAAACTATTCAACCAACTTGTAGATTACATCACGTGACTGAACAACCCTGCTGTTTGGGTTCTGACGTGGTAGCCATGAATCATCAATGCAATAACTCATTTTCGACCAATCACAATCAAGCTCACCACTCTCATATATGTGGCCAGCCTAGCCAATCAGGTCGAGGCAACGTTTGGTTGGTCAATCCCGACAGCCAATCACATCAGACTATTTTGAGCGATGGAACGAGAGTGAACACAAATATGCACAGATATTAAACTTAATTTCAGTACTAAACTGTTTTTTCAAGTTTTAATTCATTTTGTTTCGGAAAATATGTAAACATTTTGCGGTTCGTTTAAATTTTGTAAGCAGATGGTGTTAAATTCTTTACTTGCCACTTGTTTTTATCAGAAACTCTTTTGGTCTTTTACTTATTCGGCTTTAATTTTTGTAGCATTCATCCTCTGAAGGTAAAAACGGCGAAGGTTTTTACATGCAAAAAAAAATTTTGGTCAGGAAACTGCTAAGTAGAAAAAAGTTGGATTTTTCAGCTTTTTTCATTCAACAACGCACCCCTGGCTTGATTTGTATTCCCAACAAACAAAAACACAAAAAACACAAATAAATGATTGTTCGACAAAAAAACACTAACGATTCGGCTAATTTTGATTTGCTTATAGAGGAAAACGGAATGCATTGGAATGATTAATATTCTTATTGTCCAATTTCAGCTGATCAAGCATACAAGATTGGTTCCAAGAGTTTGAAACCTCGATCGTGGGCTGAATAAATAATAAGACCTGAAATAAATGCAGCTACAAGGAAAAAAATTCAACCAAATTTACGTGAAATATTTTTAAAAAATCCATAAACAAGTGAGCGATATAAAGGATTTTTTTACGCATATTTTACTCGATTGACAGGCTGAGCATACGACTTGTTTAAACAAAAAAAAACAAATACTTTTTTTTGACGAAAAAAATGGTCTGATTATTTTCGTTTCAAAATTTCTTGTTGTTGAAAATATGCAATTTGGTTCCACGGGTACCATCCTCAAAAGCTACAAAATTTTATATGAAAACATTACGAGGCCCAAATTGCGCTGGATAGGCTCAAAATTTGATGTGTATAGGTTTCTGGAGTCCAAACAGAAGTCTTCAAGCCTGTTAAGATTTTGTGGGAACGATCAAAGAAAAGAAAAGAACAAAAAAAAAACGAAAAATGTGTTCTTGCTGCGGACTCCGCTTACAATTAACAAAATATACAGTCTTTCCTAGCAATGAAAATGACTCTTTTTTACTAGTTTTCTAATAGTATATTATGCTAAGCAAAATTTGATTTTAAAGTTTTTATGAGAAAAGATTGCCTGTTTCTGTGCTATTTTGGTTACAACAATTCAATTAACTTGGAAGAAAATAGGGAAAAAAATTTAAAAAACCATTCCATAAAATTGCTTTTGTCCTAAGTGTTTCTTTTTTTCGCAAATTTTTCGTTTTTTTTGTAGTCAAGTGCAATTGAATTAGGTTCGAAGCTGCAAAAATGAGAGGTAAAATCAGAAAATTAAAGTTATTTTTGCAGTGGAATCAAATAGAGAATCACTCAAATTTGAACTCAACCTCCGTAAAAATTTAGTTGAAATTGCTCCAAAAAACAAGCGTAATAATTCAATTAACCTAAAATATATTCAACCGCTCAATTATCTCGTTGATACAAATAACTTGATTCATAAACTATAATGCGATACAAATCCTTTCAAAAACCGTTCCTTACAGCAATGGCGCAAATTTATAGGTGCTCAGAAAGAACTTTTCGAAGGCATTGGCAATCAAAACGATTTTGCTCCCGCAACTTTCGCACGTAAAGGAAAAAAGTGGAAGCTCAATCAACCACGTGCAACGCACCACGTTGATGTTTAGGAGCGGTTCGTGAGAAGTTTTCAGCGAGAACTAAAAGATATACTAGACAACAGGATAGTTACCAAGGAGGTTTTAGGAACTACACGTTTTCTGGTTGAGCAGTCATTGAAAGCGAGACTAATAAAAGCTTTTGGTTTTAACCCACGCAATAAAAAAGCGTTGAACCCAAACCAGTTTTCGCTTTGGGGTCGCTAAATTTTGAATTAACTTTCATAGCTAAAATGAAAGTCAGAACTTGGTTACGAAAATACTTACCTTTCCTGAAAAAGTAGCAGAACACTAAGGACATCACTTTGATTGAATTGTTGTCAAATTTGCTTGAATTGTTGAATCCGAGAATTCGCAATAACCACTCGCACGTTTAGTCAAACTAAGGCCAATATGAATGCGCGCGATCAGCAGAAAAAAACCATCGCGAGCAAATTGACCAGTCCGATTGTAAATAATTTTTTCCATTCTTCAATCTTTAGCGGAATATACTGCCACGCAAATTTAAAAAAAGATAAAAAGACATGCATGAGCGTACATTTTGTTGGACCAAAAGTAAAATCACAAATTATTTAGCTGAGCGAACGCGTCGAGATCCAAAAGGCCATATTCAATCATTCATAATGGAACCTACTTGGTTGTCAGGCTGAGCATAAGCGTTCTTGATTTAAAAAAATATGGAAAATGTGAGCGACGTACTTTAAAATCAGTTTAGGAAAACGATTGTTGACTCGATTGAAAAGAATATAGCGTTCAATGGATCATAACTCATCGGTTTGATATTGTTGTTTCCCATTTATTTTAAAGTAGTGTTTGTTTGTATTTTTTCTCAAGTAAACTGTTAAATAGGGCTCAAAAACAGTTGTTTCGATCACGTCACGAGGTGAGAACGGATCATATCCGACTTTTTTGTTGCGATTACCGGAAGCTCGAAAAACCGGTCAATTTTTTCTGTGTTCTCACACAAAACCTCTTACGGCGTAATTTTCTTCGATAATAAGGGTAAGCACCTTTTTTCTGTCATAAAGCAATAGTCCAAAAAACCTTTCTTAAAAATTTACGCCGGTCACACAATTACCATTTATGAAAAGAAATTTTGATTTAAAACTTTTGATTGTTAAAATGAAAGTGATCTCGTTGATAAAAAAAACGTGATCTCGTTGAAACGAATAACTTTCAAAAACCGTAATATACAGCAATGGCGCAATTTTTTTGAGTGCTTAGAAAAAACTTTTTGCTTGCACTGACAATTGAAACGATTTTGCTCCCGCAATTTTTGCGCGCAAAAGGAAGAAAGTGGAGGCTCAATCAACAAAGCGCAATGTACCACGTTGATGCTTAAGAGCGATTGGTGAGAAGTTTCTAGCGAGTACTATGAGATATACTAGGCAACAGGATACTTTTCTGGTTGAGCAGTCATTAAAACCGAGACTAATCACAGCTATTAGTTCTAATCCACGCAATTAAAAAGCGCTGAACCTGAACCAGTTTTCGCTAAATTTTTAAATAACTTCTATAGTTGAACTGAAAGTCAGAACTCGGTTACGAAAATACATAACTTTCCTGAGAAAGTAGCAGAACAATAAGGACATCACTTTGAAACCCGTCAAATTTGCTTGAATTGTTGAATCCGAGGATCCGCAAAAACCACTCGCACGTTTAGTCAAACTATGGCGAAAATGAAAACGCGCGATTCGCAAAAAAAACCGTCGCGAGCGAATTGACCAGTCCGATTGTAAATAAAATTTTCCGTTCTTCAATATTTAACGGAATATATTGCCACGCAAAGTTAAATAGTGATAAAAAGACATGCATTAGCGGGCATTTTTTTGGACCAAATTTAAAATACACAAAAAGTATTTAGCTGAGCGAATGCGTCGAGGTCCAAAAAGCCATGTTCAATCATTCATAATGGAACCTACTTGATTGTCAGGCTTAGCATAAGCATTTTTGATAAAAATTTTGAAAATATTAGCGTCCTACCTTAAAATCAATTTAGGAAAACGATTGCTGACTCGATTGAAGAGAAAGGAGTTCAATGGATCATAACTCACCGGTTTGATATTGTTGTTTCCCATTAAGTTTGAAGGGGAGTGTTTTTTTCATTTTTTTTTCAAGTGAATTGTTAAATAGGGCTCAAAAACAGCTGTTTCGATCACGTCACGAGGTGAGAACGGATTAATCCGAGTTTTTTCTGATAACTGGAAGCTCGAAAAACCAGTCAATTTTTTGTGTTCTCACACAAAATCTATTACGGAGTAATATTCTTCGATAAAAAAAGGTAAACACCTTAGTTCCTGTGATACAACAATAGTCCAAAAAAGTTCCGTTCTCAGGATTTATGTTAGAGTTATGCTATTCGGGCACACGATTACCATTTATGAAAGGAAATTTTGACTTAAAAATATTCAAAAAGTTATTTGAATCAAAATTATACGTTATTATATTTATTTTGCTTTAACTACTTTAGTCAATTTATTCTCTGCAAATTGTTAAGCAACCGGATACCGATTTAAAAAGCCTGAGATATTCCATTTTTTTGGCCCACTATGTAATCGGATTTTTGCTCTACGAAATCAATTTTAAAATAATGATACTACTAATTTTCATCTTGTTAGTATGGATCAAGTAGCAGAAGAAAATAGCAAAAACCTTGTTTGTAGTTAAATTATCATAAACCGCTTTGAAGGCCAAGTTTAGTACCATTTGCTAGTTATTGTGAGCTTCTTTTTCAGCTACATCAGCATTTCAAATCTGATATACTCCTAACAAATTCAAATGTTTTTTTAACATAATTCAGCCTACATGTCAAGTTCAAATCTGATGTTTTTTTTAAAAAATTTAGATGTTTTTTCAGTTTAAATTAACCCGAAGATTAAAGAAAACTTACTTTTTAATTTAGGTTTATAAATCAACAAATGTGATCATGTCAAGTCAGGCTGGTTTCTAAACAATATCAAAATAAAGTTTAGGGTAACCAAAAAAGTTATAAAAATAGAAATGTTGTTACATTACGAGAGCAAACTGTGCACTATATAGGCGCTTAAATTTCTGTTTGTATGTTCCTGGATTCCAGACGCAAGCCTTTAAACATGTTAAAAATGTGTCAGAACGATCAAATGAAACAAAAGAACAAAAAAAGAACATAGGGAGCGTCCTTGTTGCGAAAATTGCTTACAACTTACAAAATGCACTGTTTGGCCTCAAAATGTAATAACATTTTTGCTAACGGGTGCTTGCTCATGTAAATATACCAATAATTTATTAGACTCTGTTTTATAATTTGACCATTTTTTATCATTCCAAAGTTTTTACTTACAGTTTTCTAATTCTCGACACTTTCTTGGCATATTCTTGACACATTCTGGCAATCAAAATTCTGATGAGTAGTTTCCATAAACTTCTCCTGTATTCGATTTTTTGCTTTTTTGTAGATCAATATTTTCGTGTTTTGTATGATTTTTGATCCGACCATTGAAAACAGAGAAACTGTGTATTCGGGTGTGTTTTAGTTTTTTTCTTTTTATTTTCCAGGCAAAATCAGCAACCACAAATAATCAGCAGACAGGGTTGAGTGATATGTCATATTAAAGCTCTTTCAGTTAAAACATTTCCAAAAATTTTTCCTGGTGTCGAGAAAAACCGGTTTGAAATTTTTGATTTTTTTTTCGTCTTATTTCGAGCGAGTGAGCAGTCTTATATTAGCTTATTTATGCCTAATTTAGGCCTTGAAACTTTCCTTTAGTTATGTTAGCTTTTGGAGTTTTTAACTTCATCTTAGGAATCAAAAGCTTCAAAAATTTTGGGAGAATTTTTGAAAAGTTGTTCAAAAAAAATTTGATTTTTTTGATTTTCTTGTTATTTGTCTTGCATATTTTACATGACTGACAAAAATGACTAAACTCTACTTTTTTGCTCGGACTTTTTCATTACACCTAGCCAAAAACGACACTAGTTTGAAAAATAATTTGTTGTAATTATTTAAGACTGGTCGGAACATTCTGTGCTACTTTCACAGTAACCGGTTATCCTTGTTTTTTTTTGCTTTTTGTTTTCCACGCAAAATCAGGTTACAAATAATGATTGGACTGGTTTGATTGATGTATCATATTAAAGTTCTTTCAGTCGTGATTCGAACTACATTTAAAAGTTCATTTTTCTCTAAAAAGTTTGTCCAATTTGCCTATATTACTATGACTGTCTAATATGCCTAACTTATAATTTTACGTCACATCCTTTTATCACACCAAGCAGAAAAAACTACACTAATTTGAATTAAAAAAATTTCTAATCCTTAGTTCTCTAAAGACTCTTGTCGGAACATTCTGAGCTACTCGCTCAGTAACCGGCTATCCTTGTTTTTTTTCTTGTTTTCAATTGTCAAAGGATTTGTATTTTCAAAGAATTTAAGGTTTTTTGAGAAAATCGGGACACGAACTATCCTTTATGCAATGGCTTAAAGAAAAAAATAAATGTTCTGTAATTGAAATTTCGTCGATGTTTTTCTCTTCCATTTCCGAACAACGACTTTTTTTAATAAAACTTTGTCATGGTTTTTCACTAGATTAGCAACTGAAACAACAATTTAATAAGTATTCGAATTCAAATTTTGAGCTTTTTCTGAAAAGTTTCTGTTTTTTTTCTAGAGTTAATTAATTGTGCAAAATCTTCGCAGTCGGCATTCTTTGTTTTGATTTATTCATTCCCACTTTTTTCCGCAGAAGGCCTGAAGCAAGCTTTAATTAAAAGACTAAACTACTGTGCTTGGAAAAACATCAAATCAACTACATTATTAGGTAAAATGATAGCTTTCTGCATTATTGAGTTTTTAATGTAAGAATTGCTTCTAATTAAACTTTTTTCGCCACATGAAAGAAATTTTTGCTGCAGTCAAACGTAATTGAAGAATAGCGCAAAATGGTCTAAAAATAACGAGTCAGTTTTTGTATAAAAATATTGTTTGTATATTTCAATTCGGTGTGTAAAATTTACAACTTACACTTATTTATTTTCCTGTTAATACAAGGATACTGAAACAGGAAATAAGGAACGATAAACAAAAATAAACAAAATTGTGCTAACTTGGCTATTAAAACTTATTGCCTGATGCAATTGACTGAATGGCTGCTTGTTGTATATTGATGGTGCCAAAAGGGGGAAATCAGATTTTTCAGCTGAGATAAAAAGTTCTTTCGCAGTTTTTTCGTCGCTTTTGAGAAGGTAATTCTGCTTTTAACTCAATTAGAATAACAACCCACGCTCCTTACAAAGTATCAAAATATTGCTCAGCAAGCAAAATTGGAAGAAATCAGAGACAAAAAACCAATTTAATCTTTTCGCCTGAGTTTTTTTGGGGTCAAACAATTTGAACCAGATTTCGAACTTCTCAAAAAAGGTAAGTTTCTTGTTTCGTAAATGATAATTTTCATAATTAGTAATCCATTACTATGGTTTTATCCAAAGTTTTTGAGTCAGAAATTCCTACATAACTTCAATTAATTTCTGAAGTGGCTGGAAAAAAAAGGCAAATTGTCCGTTTCATCATAATTTATATTTTTGCTGGCCGCAAAATTAAACTTTTTTTTCAAAAAAGCTACTCTTCTGATTTGATTGCGAATTTTTCTCTTGTTTTTGCATAAAAGTAGCTGTAACTTACAACATACGCAAACGCGTTTTGAACAAAGAGGTAACTTTTCTCCACGCTATGTCGTGAATTTTTGTGTTCAATCAATTTTTTCAATTTTCTTACATATATGCCTTACATATAATACATATAAAATACAGTCGATGCTGAGGTGAAAGTACGAGCTACGTTATCATTCAGAATTTTGATAGATAGCGGATTATTTATTAGATAGTGGAATATTTGTGCTCGGTTCAGTTGTTTTATTTTTAGTCAATCTGTAATTTTTAATTTAGCCGGTCAGATCAATTTTTTCCTGTAAAAACGACTGCCGTGAATATTTTAAAATCAATAAAATGACTTCCATGAGCATAAAATATAAAATAGTTATTAGTAAATTTATTGGGTTGTCAAAATTAGCAAATAGTTAAAGCGCAGTATGTTCTGTTCTGTTTACTAAGAAGTTGAAAATTAATACCGCTCAAAATGATGTTCCAAAATCAATTGAAGCAGGCTTTATAGTCTTATCACAGTTTTATTTCATGTCGGTTGCAGCACCCGAATTAAGGGCTTCGCGACTCGACCCCCTGACTACGCAAAGGGTCTTCCCTTTGGTACTATTTTAAGACCTCCAGCTGTGGCTGGCGGACCGTTAACTTTTTTTTAAAGCGCCTTTGGCGCCAATGTATACCAATTTCGAGGCGGGATCGGGCACCAAAAAAAACATCCAAAAAGTGCCCAAGAACGCTTTTTAGGCCTGTTTTTCAAAAAATGCCTGCGTGCAGAAATTTCGCCCCTCGAGAAAATCATAGATCCGCACCTGGTCGGTTGCTATTTTTGTTTTCAAAAAACACGGTATAGAGTTAAGTTTTTGTCTTTTTTGGTGTACGGAAGATTATTCACTTTTACAAAGAGTGCAAAGTTTTCGTGAGAGCCGAACTTTGTTCCAGCTGCTCTACAAAAAGTAAAGGAACTGGCGCTACATGTTTTTTTTTGTTAAAAAATCAGTTACATCCAAGAAAACTTGTAGGGAGTCACGTCAGAGCAGATCTATTAAATCTGTTTCATTCGTTTTGGTTTCAAGAAAAATTTTCAAACACTTTTTCCCTAACTTTTATAGCTATTTAAAAAATCAGGCTTGCACATTTCTGCTAAATGTATTGCAATTCTAAAGAAAACTACACTGGTCTAAACTAATTGTGGTTCCCTAGTTCGAATTGCTTTCTTCATTTGTGGTTTTTGACTAGATACGCAAACAAGCATTCAAAATTAAAGCCGTCCTAAAAGGCTCAGCAAAGCAATTTTACATTACGCAATTAAAATGATCCACCTGCATGCTTTATTCGAACTAAAACTGGAGTAAAAATCAAAGATCTCAAACAAGAGTAAAAATCAAAAATGTAGAAGGAAAAGCTCTCCTAAAGACGAAGTTTTCGCCTGCATATAAGAAAAGTGAGAAAAAATTCTCTATTGTAGGTTTAGAGGATTGCTTCTCTAGGTTCAATGTTTTCTCTCTAAACGACACTTCAAAGTGGTCCCACGGATAGTGAATAAGAGGAGCGACCAAGATTCAAGGCTATCTACAATCCCGAAAAGGTTAAGTTGGTGGAAAATATTCTGTATTGTATTATGTTGCTTGCCCCGTTCTGTTGTGCTGCTCTTCAGGTTGTCTCGACTACTCGATAAAATCGCAACAGGTTCCAACTGTAATTTAACTCAGAAGAATATACGGCTAAATACAGAAGGCGCTGAGTGGCCAGGTTATAATCTAATAATCAAATCAAAAGGAAAGGGTCCGCAATTTATCAGCATAATTACCCAATTACAACTTGACTTCCAACTGGCATCACTAACCAATTCTCTCTCTGTAGAGACGTTTTCTCACCTTAATGAGAACTAAATACCTACTGTTTCTGCTATAAATGTTTTCTGACTCCGAGAACCAACTACTCGAATCACTAGAAATTATTGTTCTCCCTAACTAAATGAGAACCAACTATGCACTATCACAGTATCAAATGCTCTCTTCTCTGAATGAGAACCAACTACTCTTAATTGTAGCTAGCAACTCTTCGGACTCTTAAAGGCTCTCCGGTACTCTCCAATTTCTTATCTTTTTTTACAATTAGTTTTAGTTAACTCACGCCATTCTCTATCAGTCTTGACTTTCGCTAAAATCAACCGTTCGCACATGTCTTATGACTTTATCCCTCCACCTGTCAATTCATGTGCCAAATTTGGTTTCTTTTATCAATCTTTTTACGCTTATTAGATACCCGGTATGCGTTAGGAGTCACAAATTGACCAAGCAAACAAGTGTCATACAATTCTAATCCACTAATTCTTGACCTCCGTGAAATTCAGCAGCCGAGTTAAACTCAACCTCTTAACCATGCTATGTTTATTCAGTGACGATCCCTAGATCTTTTTTTATTATCCCGTTAACATTCCCACCCCCAATGGTAGGGAGAGACCCTTTTCATAGGTAATTATTTCATTTTAGGCATCTAAAATTTCAATCTGTACTTTATTCCAACCCCGATCTTCTAGCTATCAGGGGAACGTATTTTGTCTATTAGGGCAAATCAAACCAAGAAATCACCTCCGGGAAGCCAGACAAACTCGCCGTCTGTTTATACTACTTAGGAGACTTCATTCTCATGCTGCAGTGTCCTATTACTATCATTTTCCTCTGGGACCACTTTTCTTTAGTCTAGTTGAATTGCTTTTAATAGATCATTTGCCAAGCTAAACTGAACCCAATATTTACCATGTCCACTCTGAATTAACTCTACTACTCCAAGGTTGCAATGTAAAAGCTGTATTGCTATCATCTTCTGCCCTTTTTCTCAATATGCAAGTTTCCTCCCAGTTATCAGTTAATAACCCATTCTCAATTCCAGGGGTTGGTCTGCGGAATACGCAACTTTCCGTTGTTTATCTCGGGGTTTTTCAGGCAATTTTCGGGTGAAATAGCCCAAAGGTCAACATAATTTTACCCAGGGATCAACCGGGATCAAACTTCCAAAGTTGGGTTCAGAATCCATGGTGGCCCTAACTACCATGTTCCAATCCATATCCCATTAATACTTCACAATTTATCCCATTTCTAAGGTCCACAATCACTTTTCCCTAGAATAGCGCTATTAACACCAGAAAGAGCCGCCGGAGGGCGTACACTCATAAGGGATCTTTTTTAGAGGTTCGTATTTTATGTCCATTGCCGCAAGGAAATCATTAAGCCACCTCCATTTTTTGCGTAAATTGCCTATTTCAGGTTTAAGGGGGTGTTTTTAAAGTGCTAATAGCTTCCGATCCACCCTTTGGAAACGGTTCAAATTATAACACAAGATGTATCTTGCCATTATCAATCATCCCTCTAAACTTCAGCTCCCTATGTTCATTGAGGGCCGAGAAACGATTTCCAGAAGTTAAGAGTGGGTTCTATTACTTAGAGCACAAAACCGGAAGTGGGGGGTTCTAGGGGTCTGGGGTTCGAAACTTAAGCTTTCCTCAAATAGGCCTATAACATTAAAAAAAATTGCCCTAATACCGCCGCTAATTTCCGTAGGGCCATTTACACTTCCGGGGACCGTCATCACTTGCCCCCTTCCAAGGGTCTGAGGGGTCCCAATTTTCGTATGCCCGGGTCAAAACATCTAATATACCGCTACTCTGAATTTCGTAACATTAGCTTCCTTAGTTCCGAGATTTTGTTTTTTTTGGGGGGGGGGGAGGGGTTTCGCCGATTTCGTCAACTTTTAATTTCTGGGATAAGGGGGGCGATATATTCGAAGAATGAACTATTTTGAACTCAACCATTTGTTTGTTGTACTACTTAATTAAATGTCTAATCAATCTTACGCTCAGGTTAGTAGTCTATCTAATACAGTCGAAACGCCAATTCTACAGCTATTATGGATTTTTGAGGTCTAAAATAATGTCAATACAATCGATTTCCATGTTATACTCCGACAACAAAATTTCTCTAAAAATGAAAATAAATCCATTTTTCCTCGCAAAAAAAAACATTGCATTATGAAAATAAATATTTTTTCCACTATTTGTTTTTGCGTGGTGCAAATTTTTGTGCAAGAATTTCTCCATTTATCAAAATGAGTAATGCGCCCGCATTGGAATTCAATGAATAAAAATCAATTACAATTGAGTTTCCTTGTCAGTGTCCAAGAAAGTGATAAACATCAGGTGGCGGAGGTTGTGGGTTAGGTGGAGGTGGGTGTTCAGGTGGGGGGTTGTTCAGGTGGTGGTGGGGTTGTTCAGGTGGGGGTGTTCAGGTGGGGGGGGGGGGTGCTGATGGGGGGGTTCAGAGGGGGGAGGGGAGCAAAGGGGCAAACGTTAGGGGGATTGAATGGGAGCAAAGGGGCAAAAGTTGGAGGGGGGAGAACTTAACGGAATCTTTTTGCAATTTGTGTTCAGGTTTTGAAATGGATTAGGCCGTATACCCTTATGCAAAGTTTCCGCTTCACTCACTTGATAAATGCAGAAATTCTTGCAAAGTTTTGCACGACGCGCAAAACAAAAATAAAGTGGAAAAGATTATACCCTTCATAAAGTTTGTTGGGCTACGTAAGGGGCTCACTTTGATATAATTATGTCTGTGATCGACTGGATATTTTCGGCGTAATTTTTGATTAACTAAGAAAAGCCAAAATGACCCATTTTTGGGGTAAAATTTCGGGCCCGAATTTCTCAAAACAAATTACACCATATTAATTCTGCTAGAACTTTAAGCAAGTTTTGTCTTCCTAAGT